GAGGAGGCCTGCTGCTTTTGGGGGGAGGAGGGGGAAGAGAGAGACAGGGACAGCAGCTCCAGCTGCCAGGGGCCACCGAGCAGCGGCTTCTCCAACTGCCCCCAGAGCCACCCAACCACTGCTGCTCTGGCCACCTCCGGGGCCGCTGCCGGGAGCCGCCGAGCTACAGCTACTCCCACCATCCCGGCTGTTGCTTGGGTGGTCCCTGGGGCCAGCCCTAGGGTCAGCCACACTGGCCGCTGCAGATGTCACAGAAGTTGCAGAAAGTCATGGAAACCGTGACAGATATGGAGCCCGATCTATCATTCACCTACAACCAGGTCAGGGGAGAAATGCGCCACTCATTTCATACTACATAGAAAAGCTACACCATTATTTTAGACAGGAAAAGGAGAAATAAAACAAGGTTGAGATTTTCAAAATTAGCCATGCACATAGGAGACACCTGATGTGCAGACACATGAACTTCACACACACCCCTCTCTGAAAAATCAGGCCCCAAGTGTTTAATGGCAAAAGAACAGTCATCTGCCAACTGCAAAACAACTAACAGAAATAGTTCACAAAGTCTGCTTCAATACTATAATGGTAATCTTCACATAGAAGAGATGAATATTTCCAGTCTAAACAAAATATGAGTAGTAGAACCACGCAAATGCAAATCACTCTACTTTACTTGGAATGTTATACCACATTAAAGACAGTAAGAGGTGGGTGGAAAAGAATATTAACCAGAAACTTTAAACTTTGAATAAAAAGCAAAAGCAGAACAAAGTCACTTTTAGCATGTGCACAATATAGGAATGAAGGGTACGATCCTTTGGTTAATATCTTGGCCAAATATTATTCACATGCAGTGAATCTCAAGTTAATATCATCCCACATCACACAATTATCACAAATCCACAGAGCAAAACACCCACAACAGGATTGATTACAGGGCTGAGGACAAAGCAAGGCAGGATGAACATTACAGATCTCTCTATTAATTCCCCTAAGTACAGTGTATTAAAATTCAACCAACTTAAAGTCAATAATTTACAACTGTCCTACAGGATCTACTATATCCAAACAGTTGTCAGCTCTTGCTTTTTCCAAAAGCCAGATTAGATTTTCAGTCCCAGATAAATGTGTTTTAAAATAGAGGGAGAATGAGAAAATTGATTAGTAGCCATGCAAATATAATGATATTCTATGGAGGAGTTCTAGTGACATCGAATACCATGAAAAGGGAGTAAGAGAAGTTTAGAGCCAGGACACACATGATCTAATTATACCCTATATCCTGATGCATTTTTCTTTTAAACATAATACAAAAGACTCCAGTTAAAACAGAGTCTGTTTGTCCGACAATCCAGACAAAAGTCACAAGTAAACAAAACTAGACAAGCGTGCTAGAATATAAACTGCAAAAAACATTCTTCTTTCCTGAAAGTTTTCCAGGTTGACAACTTCTACTTTCCCACACCCCTGGAACAGCTTCAGTACTTCACCACTCCCAGGCAGTGCCAGCTCTCTCTCTGGACCTTTTCAGGTCTGACTCCCAAAAATGTAAAAAAGACACCTTATTGCTTAACAGGTCTGTTCTTTCTAAATATTCAGTCGTATGCGCTTACCTTGGAGACAAAAAATGTTTTTATGGCTTTTTACTCCTGCATGCCCTGCAGAACCACCACAGTTAAGGGGACGTCTATACTGCAGCCAGTGGTGTGATTTGCAGTTCAGCTGCAGCACTAGCTGTATGCTACCTATCTCTCTCAAAAAAAGAAGCGAGGACACTGCAGTGGACACTAAAGTGCCGGCTGCACAAGTGTGCCTGACCCCCAGGGTACGCACTCAGTTGTGCAGCTGGCATATCAGCAGAATTGTTCACAGACTCTGATCAGTGTGAAAACCCACTAAGGCAATGTCAAGTATCACCGAGGGCCTAATTAGGTCATCTTTATTACTGGCGAAGGTGTGTGGAAAGAAGGAACCCAGCTTCAGTCTAAGGAGGCTGAGTTTGCAGGGATATTTGGTGAAGGAGTGGAACCCACATCTTTTTCCTTACAAAAACTACATTTGTTCTGAAAGTCAGTCAAACACCAAGGCATACAGTGGCATTTTACAGTCACTTTTCAGGCTAGAACTCCACTTTAAGAGCAGAACCAGCCTGTGCCAACATGTGTGTAACCTGGAGGGGGGAAGCACCCTCCTGCACCTGTGCTCCTCCTGCCAACTTCCATGCGGCCTGCTACTGCTTTCCACAGTATCTCACTACATCTTTAACAAATATTCCCTCATTTATGACTTCCCAGTCTGAATCTGATACATGAGCTGAGGCAGTTACGAAAGGCTCTTAGGAAAAGGCAACTGAATTCAGATTTTGGGAGAACCATGAGCAGAAAGCTTGGATACAATTCTTGGGCATGAAGAAAGCCTCGATTGCTTTCCCCAAACAGTGCCAAAGGTGGTATGGTGAGGGCCATTATGAACTTTGGGAGAGCTGAATTGGCCTGGAAGATAAAAGGCAGGCAGATTGGGCTTTCCCTGATAAACCAGCTTAATAAAGACTAACTGTATCTGTTAACCTTGAATATTCTTAGAAGGTCACTAGTAGTGATGTAATGCCGCATCCATTCCACACAACACACTGTTTTAAGTACTCTATAGGAGTCTGCTAAAAGCACAAGAGTCAGCATTTTCAAAGATTAGCCCCATAGCCACTGCAAGACATTGCTTAAGAAAACAGAGTTCCCATCTTCTGACCTCAAGGGACAAGGATGAGGTTAAGGAAAGATGATACTGTTTCTTTCATGGAATTTTTCTCCAGCTTTACTTTTTCTTTCTCCTGTCAGTAGTACCATAAAGACAGTTGTCTGCAATTCGTCGTTTCCAATAGATTGTCCAAGCAGTACTCTGAATACCCTCTACACAATGAAGGGTTCCCCCACTACATCGCTGGCAGAGGTTTCTGCACAAGGTGGCTAATAAAGAAACCAAGGCTTCTTAAAACAGCCTGGCTAGTCTTTTTGTATTGCACAAATATTCAGAATACGTAGGATCAGAGCCTAAACATTCTTTTCAATAATTTTCAGTCTACTCATCATAGTAAAATTATTTTAAAGTCTCCAAGAGTCATGCTAATTTTTTGTTCCTGTGTTCTTCTAGTGGCGTTCTACCTCTGCCACATATCTACCAGCATCAACAAACTGGCAGACAAGTCTCATATAGGGTCTTATTGCATGCACAAAGTTGTCTTTAATTTATTTGATTTAGTACAGAGTGATTGCAGGGAAATCTAGCATATAGAATCACATAAATGTAGATCTGGAAGGGACCTCAAGAGGTCATCTACTCCATCCCCCACACAGAGGCAGGATTAAGTATACCTAGACGATCCCTGACAGGTGTTTGTCTAACTTGTTTCTAAAAACCTCCAATGACCTTTCCTGACACAAATATGTAGCAAGAGAAGTAAACAGAAAATACAAGATGGTGTCTGGACTATTTATTGTGAGAGTGATGGTGTAGAGTTTCCTGATTAAGCTCAGTTTAGTTGGCTTAGTCACCAGCTACACAAACATTTAGAAGTGAACAGCAGCCATTAAAAATCATTTAAGTGGCCAGTAGTCTATCATATCTTAGAGAAGTATTATAACAAAGTTCTTCTATCACAGCACTCACAGAGCCACTAAATAGGGCCTTAACCCCACCCACATTTCTGGCAGAGGCACATTAAGATGCTATAGCCAGATTTTCAATGCTCTGTACACATATGTATAACTTCATAATCAGACATTAATGTATTCTTTTAGACACCTCTGTTAAATAGGGCCCCAAGATATTTTCTCAAAGCAAAGTATCTGTACCACCAAATTACTTTCAGATCAAATACCACAGCAGAGCTCACTCGGAAGAGTATCTCTGAAAGGTCTATGCATGTTAAAATAATACAGGTGATGTGAACTAAAGCCTATGGGCCAAATTCAGTACACCTTAAATATGTTATGGGCTTGCTGAAACCTTGTTTTAAGTTGAGTTAAAACTTTGAGATTGGAGGGTACATTTGCATCCATCAATTAACATAACTAATGATATATTAATCACAAACCTGCAGCTAAGAAAAAAGGGTTATATGAACCTACCCAGGAGTCCTGGATTGTGAGAGTACAGGCAGTTTTGCTGAGTATTGTTTTGAGTAAGCGGAGAGTGTACATGAGAGAGAAGGCAAAAGAGGACCAGAAAGAGAGAGAGAGAGCACCTGAAGAAACACAAGGTGAAGACTGTAAGCGTGGTATGACCCCAAGAGTAGTAGTAGTCTGGATCAGGGTGCTGGCTGACAATAAGCTTGGGCCTGTAAGCTAAGAAACTTTTCCTTTTGCCTTTGGCTCCTCCTGCATTTGGACAAGCAGGATTTTTTTTATTTATAAGGCATGTACCAACTCTGCATAAAAAAAATAGACTGCATCATCAACCTTTTCTCCCAAATGGAACATTTCCAGGACTCTGAACCTTAATTAACTGCTTGGGTCAAAAAGGGGGTAAATGCACAAGCACTTCTACTGAATTCAGAGGGACTAATCACATAAGTAAAGTGAGCGGGACTTGGCTGTATATTAAAATACAAGTAGGGCTTATAAAGTTCATTCTAGTGTAAACAATTCCAGCATAATGTTGACAAGCATGCCAAAAAGATTAAAATAGGAAAGTTAGCCTGTCAATTTATACCCAGAGATATCTGTTTACACTGATTTATTCCTTTATGTTCATAAAAAATAAGCCCTGTTACAAAACAAACCTTTTACATAAAATGTCTCTCTAATGTACAACAGGAGTCAGGTATAGAGTTTCTCTCATTTCCTCTAGTGGCATGTACCTGTTAAAACAGATCTTCTGTATTTCCTGATAATTTAAACAGCAGTAAAAATAGCTCATGTCAAGTTGATGGTTTAGTTTACTGTACTTTACAGAGGCTGTGAATAAAATAATTACACAAAAGAGGCAAACATAATGCTTACTTTCTCTAAAGGCTTTACAGTAGCCAAGGAAAGACAACAAAAAGAACAGGGCACACAGCAGGTCTGCTCTGCCAACAATCCCTGCAACCTTTGAAAAAAGAAAAAGAAAAGGATTTACTTTGTTTTTTCTTTTAAAAATATTTTTGATAATACGTGAGGAAACACAGAAATATAATTCACTGAAAATAGGAAATGGACATATCATTTTGTGTCACTTTCATTTCTGTAAATTGTTTTAATAAACTTTATAAGACCATGGGCATTTTCCCTGATTTTGGAGGAATATTTGTTTGTCGACAGAAGAAGCCGGTAGATGGTTTGGCTTTTACTCACTGAAAATTTACTAATGTTTAAAAAAAACAGGGGGGGGGGGAGGAGGATTGTGGGCATGATCCAAAGCCTATTCAGGTAAATGAAAAGACTGTCATGGAACAGGCTGTATATTTGTATAATTCTTGGACAACTTTTGGGCCCTAGCAAACCTACAGCTGTGGAACCTCAAACCAGAAATTGAAAGAATCTCAGCTTTCAGAAGAGTACATATTACAGCTGAAGGGAGAGGGTGGAAGAAGACCTAAAGATCTTCCCCCAATCTCTACACACACTTTTTATATAATCTGAATCAGTTACATGTGGGGTACCTTCCAAAGAATCACCTAGTCTCACTAACAGTTCTGCTATGTTGGGGGAAGAACCCAGGCAGGGAGTCTGCACCTGTAGATCGGGATCCAAAACCCTGGAGTCCTTCCAGTGACTTCAGCAGGTTTGGCTCAAGCCTTTAGAGTGCTGGAGCCCAATTTTGCTGGAGCCTCTGGAGCAGCATAGATCTTTGGAAATAGGATTGGACCTACCAGTTCTCCTCCTCAACCCCTTATTTAGGGAGGGGACTCAAGGACTACAGAGGCTACTCAGGCTATGCTGCTGCTCTGCCATTTTTTGAGGAGTGGAAAGAGGTGAATTCCTCCCCCACTTGCCTCACTGGAGTTCTCTAGTCTTCTCTTGGGCAAAGCACAGGGTTCAGAGTGAAATGCAGACTCTGGAGCAAGGCTGTGCTACTCTGACATGAGTAAACTGCATCACTTAAATAGAATTTTTGAGGGCTGAAAGGCCTAGTGGTTTGCGTGCAGGACCAGGGGACTGATCGAAAGCCCACTGAAGTCAATGGAAAGATCCCCCTGATTTCAAATGAGCTTTTAATTCAGGCCTTTGGGGAAGAAACTGCTGAATTCTAATTCCAGATCTGAAAGAACCCCTGTGTGGCTTTGGACAAGCCACTTAACCCCTGCCTCAGTTTCTCTATCTGTAAATTAAGGATAATAGTATTTCTCTACCTCATAAGGGTGTTGTGAGGATTAACTCAATGGCTGTAATGCGCTTTGAAGGTGAAAGTCAAAGTGCTGTTCTGTTTCAGGAACTGTTATCAGCTAATGATGTAAAAGAATCAATTCTAGAAATAAACATCAATGTGTTACAGCAAAGGGCCTGGTCCTCTAATACCTATTGTCTCATTGACTTCAACAGCACTCCTTGTGTGAGACAGAGGCGCAGGATCAGGCCCATAGCCTCTGGTCTTAAGGCAACACACAGTTTTAATTTTATGATCAAACTAGCTATCAAAGTTCCATGCAATAGGGAATATTTTAATCACTCATGTTTGAACAGGAAGAATTCAACACATTTTTTGTTTTTTTTAAAAGACAAAACTATACAGCAGAAGTACTTACCTGCTACTCAGAAAAATCATACTGACATAACAAATTTTATCTTCAGACATTACCAAGACTAAACTTTTCAATATCCATTTTACATATGAAAGCTTTAAAATTCCTTGTTTTTGAACATACCAAAAAACAAAACAGAAAACTGACAAACTCTTCACAGTTATCATGTGTCAAAACATGCCATCTAATTTTAGAGACGGGTTGTCATGATTTCAAAGCAACTGAGTTTTCGGCCTCCTGGGAGGTGCTATTTGAGGGGTGAGAAACGCATGCATGTATGTGCTGGAAGCACACAATGTCTTGATTGTTACAGTTAAAAATATTGAGTGTAAAAGATTTACAATTCATTGTTTAGCAGATTAAGTACATCTGTGCACCATCTGATCTTAGAAAAGACATGTTTATTTTCAGCACGCTAGGTTCTTCTTTCCAAAAATATAAACAAATTTTTATAGTTCCCAATCCTGCAAGCTCATATACACAAAGAGACCCCCCTGAGCCCATGCAGATTAGTTTGCAGAATTGAGGCCTTAGTAACATTTAGAGCCCAATTTAAACAAATATATGTAACAGTTTATATTATCAAGGACTAGGTAGTAATTCTATTGTTCAGGCTGCACTGAGATTTCACGGATTCCCAGGTGCACAGAAGCTGCACTCTCCACCACCTTTTTGCCCTACATCTGGTCTTTGGGACAGCCAAGAGCAGTTTTCACCCTCACGTAACTTTACACTAGCATCCATGGTTCTCTAGATTGCTGAAATGCAGAATGCTCTGGTCACACTCCTTACTAAGGGTGGGGGACAGGAAAGCCTGATGTAGAGCTCTGTACATAAGGATCCCCCTGCACAACAGCAATTCCCCAGTGGGCTGTTTAATATAGGGGTCCCTTTCTTTTTCACCATCAGCATTGCGCAAAAGGGATGGAGCAGGGCCAAGGATCTGGCTCAAGTGGTGGAGTAAATCCCTTTGCTATGTATGGAAAATAATGTGCACCAAACTTAAGAGCACTTACTTCTAGGGCAGAGACTGAATGTTAGAATGAAAACTCTTCAGTAATTTACAATGGAAAGGCAGTTAAAATGCCTCCTGCTGGATTATGATTATTCATGAATTTTAAGGTCAGAAGGGACCATTTGTGATTATCTAATCTGACCTCTTGCCTAACACAGGCTATAGGACTTCCTTGAATTAATTCCTCCTTAAGTCCAATAACTACTGTTGAACTAAAGCCTATCTTTTAGAAAAATATTCAGTTTTTAATTAAAATATTCCCATTAATGGAGAATCCAACACAACTCTTGGTTAATTGTTCCGATGGTTATTGACCCTCACTGTTAAAAACGTGCACCTTAGTTCAGTCTGAATTTATCTAGCTTCAACTTTCAGCCACTGGACTTTGTTCTTCCTTTTTCTGCTAGATTCAAGTGCCCGCTATCAAATTTTTGTATTTTTATTGCAGACTAATCAAGTCAGTCCCTTAACCTTCTCTTTGTTAAACTAAATAGATTGAGCTCTTGCGTCTATCGCCATATGACTTGTTTTCCATTCCTTTATTCATTAGCACGGCTCACTTCAGAACCCTCTCTAATTTATCAACATCTTTTTTGAACTGCAAGCACCAGAATTGGACACTGTGTTCCAGCAGTTGCTGTACCAGTGCCAAACACAGAGGCCATAACCTCCCTGCTCCTAGTTGAGACTCCAGTTTATGTAAAGCAAAAAAAGGAATTAACAGTGATTAAGCCCTTGCATGCAGTTTATTCATGCCTCTCCTCTACAGTTCATGAGATAGCATGTCCAGCAATGTATTCTTTATCCACTAACTAAAGCTGGATGGCCTGAAACAATAATGTTTATCTATTGTACTTTACATTTTTTGTCCTAAATAGTGACTTGCTCTGAAGACTCACTAACTTGTGAGCGTATTAACCATAATATTACATGATTCTCAATGTAATACATGCAAAACTGTAATAGATACTCTGTGTAGTAATGACAGATACAGTGTGTAACTTATAAGAGTGTTCCAAGATTAATTAGCATTGGTCAGGAACTCTGGAGATATAAAACATTATACAAAGATCTAAGTATTAGGTACTTACACATTCAGTATGCACTGGATGCACAGCAAACAGTGAAGCAGCTAGAAGAGATGCTTTTGGAGCAAGGTTTAGCCTTCTTCCTTTACTGCTGTATTGCAGCCCACCCAATAATATCGAGAAGACATCAACCATTAATACAGAGATAGCACAATGCAGTATTATATTGATGACATGAAAACCCACTGGGTGAAAGCCTCCAGCAAAAAGGTAATTAATTCTACATAAAAACAAAAACATTGAGATTAAGAGTCAGAGGAGAGCTTGGAGACACACAAAGAAAAACTAAACACTCCTGAAGAAAGAGAAATAGCCTTTGCAGGAGAAGCTTAAAATTAAAAGTACATTTTAAATAATATTTAACACACCCACCTTACCATGGTTCTATCTCCAAACATCCCTGTAGGCTCCTAGCCTGCAGCTAGCAGGCCCTGATCCTTTCCCAAACAGAGGATTTCCCTACAGAATAACACCCATGCCCTCAAACCAGTGCCAATTTGCACCACCACTACCTTTACAAGATCCCAAATGGGAAACAGCGACTGTGGCTGCTTCTCAGTTGGTGCCATAACTTTAAAGTTGCATGTTATAATAGTGCTCTGGGACACAACCCTGTGTAAAATTAGAAAGCTGGAGAGTCCTGCAGAAAAGCAGCCCAATCTCCTGGAGGGCATCTTTGAACTTCAGAGATAGAGTGTGCACATGAATGTTCCTGGGGGTGCGAGCAGGAAGGATGGTGTAAGATGACTGTTCTTTCAGATTATACCTTAAAATAAATGTTTAAAAAAAACAAATTCCACATCACTCACACACTGAGGTCTTAACTGACTTGCAATTACCTAAAGACCCCATGAACTTTTCAGTTTAAAAAAAAAAAGATTTGTCATAGGATCTTTGGCCAAAATTTTTCCAGTGTGTATGGCCTACTCACTGCTGGGTTTTCACTCTCCACCCCAGTAGTGGCTGCATTTCAGTGGTGCTCTACACATACAGTTAAGTGATGTACTTTGGGATTTTGCACAAGGAAAAGGCACAACAAATTATTATTTAAAGGGTGTATGTGGAAGCAGCATTCTTTTGGGGACAAGGAATGGGATTGCGGGTGGAAAGAGGTCAGGAAAGTAGGCTGGAGAGGTGTGAGAGGGAATTAGTTATGGTCAGGCTGTTTGGATAAAGGTCCAGTGTAGGAGCTTATTCTGGGTAGGAAAGCTGAAGGGGAAAAGTGTACCACAATTTTCTGTATAATACAAGCAATATGCTAAAAACATACGGAAACTTAACTTAGATAATGGATTTCACCTAGTATGTCTAGCCAACCTGCATCTGGCATAAGTGGAGTTCATTAGAATGATCTAACCTGTTATAAATGTGTAATACACATAAAAGCAAAGTCTTAAGAGAGTTAGGGAAGGCCAATTTCTTGCTTGAGGAAACAGCATTTTACTGGCTACCTCCACGTGCTCCTCTACGGTTTCAGATTTTTAAATACTTGTGCGTACATTTTCTGTTTAAATTAACCAGGGTGTTATTGGAGTCAGAATGAGCCTCAGAGGCCGCAGGAGGAAAGGAATAATTTTATAATGTACGTTTTATGTAATATATGGAAGCCTGTAATAGGCATTTCAAACACAGAGACATTTACATTATTTGTATTACAGTGGTGCCTAGATTGGACTGAGATTGGACCCGATAGTGCATGGTCACAGCCCTTCCTTGACCATGCAGGGGAGGAAAGGAAAGTAAGGTTCCATGCAGACTCTTCTCTCACCATTCCAGCTGGAGTCACAAACTGAGCAGGGGAATACTTGCCCAATACTCCCTGCTGAGAGCAAGTGGGTGGGGAGGAGTCCTGGATCTGCCCCCTTTACTCACCAGGGGGAGTGGCTGGCCAGGCTCACAGCATGCAGTAAGCAGCTCCATGACAAGGGTGAAGTTACTTACTCCTTTCCCAGGCAAATAGGGAGCATGGATGGAACTCAGTCTCCTTGGTCTGCTTGTAGGACAGTGCAGCTACATCCACCCCCCACCCCCAAGTAGACTGTAAACTGTAAACTTCTACAATCTAGCCATTGAGAGAAAGTCCCATGGCCCTTGCCCCAAAGAGCCTATGACCTAAATGGACAAGAACAAGGCTGGGAGTGGAAACAGACGCACAAAGAAGCAAAGTGACTTGCCCAACATCACTTTGCAAGTCAGTGGCAGAGCAGGGAAAAGAATCCAGGTCTACTGATGCCCAGACCTGTGCTCTATTCACTGAACCACGCTGCCTCCAGTACAGCTATTATAAGAAATCAACAATATATGTACAAAGATACTTTCCTGCTATATATTAATGTATATTAAAACTGTGTGTATTGGGGGGGGGGGGAGACAGGGTCAATAGTTAAAAAACAAGCTGTCAAACTGAGGTTAGAGTAGATGGGCATAGATCAAAATGCAACCAAACCCCAGGAAAATGAGAACAGAGCCCATTTTTGTTTAGTTTTATACTTCTTATCTCACTGCATTTTAGCACCTAGATTATAAGCTACTATTATTGATGTTCTATATATACACTTAAGATAGATTGATAAACACAAAGCTGGGCACATAGCTTTGTTCTGTTTTTTAATCTATGTATACATCAACCAGGATGTACACAGTTCAGTCTACTTCCACCAAAGGGTTCTGGTGACATAAATAAATTTCTCTAGCTACATTCTTACTGTTTAATATCACAGCACCTCTTGCCATAGGAAAAAGAAGGGAAGAAGAAATGGAGCAAAAGGGAGAAAACTGGTTTAGATCATAGAAGGGTCTTCAGACCTTAAACTGATAATGTGTGGAAGAGCTGCTCAGACATTACAGTGATTAAAGAGAAAAGAGACAATTACAGAATCTGAGGTGGGGATACTTTTCTTGGTATATTAAACGTGACTCTGGGGTAAATTTAAGTAGGAGGTATTATATAAACAATTATGAATAATGTTCTCATCTATCCAGACTCCATTTTTCTTCCTACTGGACAGAATTTACACTTATGCAGAGCACCAACGCAAGGTCTATGCATCAATTAAATACCTTGTGCTGGCCCTCTGCATAAAAGGGTGAATTTCACCCTTTGCTTCCGAACCTGCAACAAGCTGTGGGACGTGGGAGTTCACCTGCATGGAGCTTATTGCACGATCAGGTCTTTGGAGTTAAGCAAGGTAGTAGCTGTACTGCAAATAAATTGCAGCAGAGATTTCACTTCCCTCAAAGTCTTTTATTTTCCAAAACAAAAAAAGTCAGTTAACAAAATAAACCTCCAAACCCAGTACTATGGGCACGACACCAGGTCTCACCTGAAAGTCAGGACAGTAAGAGGTCGATATGATTTGTGGCTGGTATTGCTGCTGAGTTTGCCACCCCAAAAGTCATGATGCCACAGGTCACCAAGTGGAGTTTCTGCTCTGAGGTCCTGAAAGAACACATGTTTAGCACCAACATTGTTAACATTTCAATTTAGTTAAAGCAGTTGGAAAGAGAACAGTTACATACAAAGCAAACGGGCACCACCATGACCATATTTTATAGACGACACTTTCTATCAAGTCTTTTAGTGACTGGCTACTGAAACCTGATTGATAGTTCCAAGCCTTTTCAATACCCGCTTCTATTCCTTTAATTATTGTGGACCAGATCCTCATATGGCATAAATCAGCATATTTTCATGAATTTCAATGGAGTGATGCCGATTTCCACCAGTTGATGTTCTGACCCAACAGCTCTAGTGTAAAATATATTTAAAATATCTTTATTTTTGTACAATATCTTATTTTAGAGATCGGATCTTTGGAAATAGGAACACCACAAGCTGTTGCAAATTGCCATTTTTCCACTAGCACCAGTAGGAGAACCATTAATGAAAGCAAGAAAGATATACAGCAAGAACTAAAGATGGCAACCAGTGATTAGCTCTTTTTAAAATCCTGTTGGGTGGCTTCCTTAACTTTCACATAACACCACTCAACTAGCACTTTTTGCTTCTGACATATCAAACCCATCAGCAAGTTCCTCTATGTACCACTCTTCAAGAAAATTCATAGTAGTAGTTAGGAAAGGAATTTCTTAGGTACCATCATGAAGGAAAAATAAAATCACTTTTTAAAAACAATTACAAAATGGAAGTGTACAGTTTGCTTAATCTCATAACTAAGGTGATAAGGAAGCAATTTTGATTATTTCAACTGTAAATGGTACCATAGGAGACTATGTGAAAATCTGAACAACACACATGGATATAAAGGCAGCCCTTTAAAAATATGTTTTTGTATATGTATACGTATGTATATACACACATACACACACCCCCCCTGAGAAATTTCTGTGCAGCAGCACAGCATGCTTCATATTCATCAATAATTGAAGCTGCTCCACTGAGAAGGCCACCTTACTTCCACCGAGCTCCCATACCTCTCCTCCACACACACAGCGTGCCAAATTCTGCTCTGATTTGTGTTAGTGGAACTTCGTGGGGTATAAATGAAAGCAAAATGTGCCCTTAGTTTGATCCAAAGCCATTAGAGCACCTAAGAGTGAGATATCACTACCAAAAGAATAACTTCAATAGGAGAACGGGTAGTATGGATGCAATCAATTATAGCTTACCTTATTTCCCATTCAACTAACACAGTAGTAAAAAAACCAAACCAAACAACCCAAAACTCCACCATCACCACATGAAGCCAAGTACTGTACTTTCTAAGGGTTATTAAACAATACGTAGGGCCAAGTTTAGCACTGAATTCAGCAGGGATGTATAGGTTGCAACTCCACTGCATTCCTATATCTGAGAGAAAGGATGTTCGTGTGATTAAGACACGGGATACGGACTGTAGAGACCTGAGTTCAATTCTCAGCTCTGCTATAGACTTCCTCCATGATCCGCTGCAAGCCACTTACAGTCTGATTTTTCATTCCATTGCAATTGTTTGCTATTAACTTGTCAGTATATAGAACATGCAAAGCTATCAGAAAGTCTAATATATTTCTTAAATTAAAAGCATTACAATTTGAATACCATCTCTTATGTCAAGATTGTATCGATAACAAGAGGTACAAAATATATTTGTTGTGTGCTAACAGAAATTTTTAACCACCATAAAAAACAGTACTCAACATCATTATGTTCATAAAACAGAATGTGAACTATAAGAAAAAGTCTTGCATGGTCTTCAAGTGCTGCAGCTAGGAAACAGTTTGCACAATTTAATCAGAGTTTATTTTTTTATCTTCAGTAGGAAACAAGCAGACAAAGCAAAATATGCAGAAATACCTTGTGATTCAATTCCACTTACTTATGACCTGAATTCTCCAGAGCTCAGAAGTGGTGAACTTGACCACCGAGCATTGGAAGTTTGCAGAAAGCTACACAAAATAGTTTGTTCACCTTCACGGGATTACACACAAAAAAGGGAACTGTTTGCTTTTTCTTAACTGTAAGAACTTCGCATCTATTTGAAAAGTTATGTATGATTTTCTGCATTGGAACAGAAAATGGATACCTAGGAATCCCTAAATATTTGATTAGCAGCAGCCTATGCACAGTAGGGTGCAGAACTTGAAGAAGGGTCAGTTCTTCCACATAATGGCTTACGGAAAAGATGCATTGTGTCTGAACTTCCTGCTAACCCAATGATTTGTTTTGCCAAAAAAATAAATAAAGACAAATCATTGTTGTGCACCAGTAAAAAAGTGGTTTTAAATGACAAGGAAGCATCTGGAAAACAGCCTTGAACACCAATAAAATCCAATAACTGAATGCGCCACGATACGGTAGGCATTGGGCCAACTAACAACATATATTTCATTAAAACAGGAAAGTGGGGGGAGGGCTAGCAAGTTAACAAAAGGGTCACAGTGTGGTACCTAAGAAAATACTGGCAAAGCAAGGCTCAGCAGATCCACATAATGCCTTCATCAGCTGTATTTCACATGAAAAATAAAATATGGCATGTAGTATCTTGCTTAATAAAACCAGCCTTTATTATGGTACTTTCTCTTCCCACCAATTCATAACCCCTCATCTCTACATTTTTGGTACTGATTTAATATTTCTACATATTTATCTAGCCCCTTTATTATAAAGTCCCAGTGGCTCCAAAATCCCATTCAATTTCTAAAGAAATGTGTCAAAATTTAGATAGGGAAATAAATTAAATCTCCGTATTTTCAAATGCAGGCTGAATAAGTAAGAATGAGGTTATTTAAGCAATTGATTTAGTTTTTTCTCCTTGCCCGCAGCCAGAATTTTAGCACAGCTTTTTTATTTGCGTGCGTGTTGATAAACTGAAACAATAACATTTGTCAGGTAAACGTGGAGAGAAGTGGAGGAAGATTACAAGTGTAGAAATTGCATTGAAACAAACTACATCCACCATTGCCTTGGTTTAAATGTCAGTTTAAGAAAATGAAATTGCATCGTTATCCTTCAAATACATCTCCTGGGAAAATTTGGTTCTGCAAGTTGTGTCATTTTACAAATACAATACGTTCTATAATCTTTTTATGTATTTACATTGCAATTTGGCAGACACTCCCCCCGACCCAACATTTTTCTAGCTTAGGGTATGGCTGACTTATCAAGTACACTACAAATTTATTTGAACAACGATAATTCTGTGGGATCCTGAAAGGCAAATTGCAGTAGGCTACCTTTATACTTTCTGTTGTGAAAAAAATACTGTAGGTCAGGGGTAGGCAACTATGGCACGTGTGCCAAAGGTGGCATGCGAGCTGATTTTCAGTGGCACTCACACTGCCCGGGTCCTGGCCACTGGGCCAGGGGGCTCTGCATTTTAATTTAATTTTAAATGAAGCTTCTTAAACATTTTAAAAATCTTATTTACTTTACATACAACAATAGTGGAGTTATATATTATAGACTTATAGAAAGAGACCTTCTAAAAACGTTAAAATGTATGGGAAACCTTAAATTAGAGTGAATAAATGAAGACTCGGCACACCACTTCTGAAAGGTTGCCGACCCCTGCTGTAGATTATATTTTTTCCAGAAGGTTTTTCGGCTACCACTTTTCTCTTCATTCTTTTGGTATCAAGAGAGTAGAGTATCCATATCTATTCCTTTTCTTTTTGCTTCTATGTACCTCTCTTACCACCTCTATCACTCAAACCTCCTAGATCAGACTAGGACCACTCTTATAAGGCCAGGCCCCACCCAAAGGCCCACTCTTGGAAGTTATTAAATGTCCCCTTGGGAGGCATCTCAGGAACTGAGGACACTCAATATCTTACAGGACCACACCTTAAACCATCTATTTTAGGATTTATACTTTAAAATCATGTAGCTTGAAAACTGGCTAAGGGATGTAAACAATGATTGGCTAAATAGTTTTTCAAAAAGAACAAGATTCGCAGTGCATTAAAGACTTTTAAAAAAAAGCAAATACTTTCTTAATATTTTCTACTCAAACAATATTGTTGTATTTGCCACAGGAATGTTACAAGTGAGATGGTCCATGAGACTCTCTCTCTCTGTTAGGCTGGGGTTTACCTTATGAAAAACCTTGAGAACTCTTGCTGAGTGAAACTCACCATCAGCCCATCCTGCAAACACTTCTACGCAAGAGTAACCGTATCCACTTGGCTTCCATCCATTACCCATTGGAGTCAATAGAAAGTCTCCCACAGACGTCAGTGGGTATTAGACTGGATCCTAAGAACCATAATTTGAATTAACTGAAGTCTATGGTAAAACTCCCAGGACCAGATCCACAAAGGTATTTAGGCTCTCAAAATGGTAGTTAGGCACCTAAGTCCAACATTATAGATACCAGTGAGATCCTCAAAACCCCACTTATCTGCTGCCTAACCCTGGAGCTGTTGAAATTCCCTAGGTGCCTAAGTTTGTCGGTAAAGTCCCTTAGGCTCCTAAATTTTTGCTAGTGAGTATCCACAAAACAGCCTCAATCCTGATGATGCTGAGCTGCTCAGTCCCCTAGTCCATACCTAAACCTTGGTGGAATTCTCAGACTAGGTGTTCCCCCACCTAACTCATATGTGAGGACCTATTCAGTAGGCCTGCTCAAAGCACACCTAACAGATCTGGTCAAAAAAGGACAGCTGGGAAAGAGCTGGTCAGGATTTTTTGGAGCTGTGCGTGTGTCTCTTTATACCCAATAGCCCAGTCATTAGAGTACTCACCTGAGATGTGGGAGACTCAGATTTGAATCCCTATTTGTCCTGATTTGGAACAGGGACTTGAACCCAGATCTCCCACATCCCAGGTGATTACCTAATCGCAAGGGTACTGGCAATAATGGGGTGGAGGCTTCTCACTCCCCGTTTTTCCTACAAGCAAGGGCTGACCTGGCTTGAGTATCTAATTCCAGGACAGGGTTCATGTCTGTGAATCCTGAGCAGAGGAAAGCACCTCCCTCCAATCCCCAGTCAAGAGACTGAACCATTTTTGAGGGGCGGGATTAAGCCCTGCCCCTCTCCTTGGCATTTTCTACTGCCTAGTTTAGGTGACTCCCTGCTCAGCTTGCTGGTTTCTGTGAATCCATTCCTTAGGTTCCTGACTCTCTCCATACAATGCATGGAGAGCCTGGGTGCCTAACTTAGTTAATTCCACTTGGTGCCTAAACCCCCTTTGTGACTAACCCCCAATGACTTTAATGGGAATAAGACTGGGTCCATAAATAGTCTTGTGTACACACATCCATGTGCACAAGTGTTTTCAGGATCAGGCCCAAACATTGTGCAAATCTAGCCAATTTCACCCACAGTACACATAGCTTTTGTGCATTATTTACATAAATAGTGGCTTACTTTTTAAAACCCTTTGACCATCATAAGAAAGGAAGGGGGTAAAGGAGAAATTCAACCCAAAATTCTTATTTTGCATGGGTCAAATTTGGGGCCTAATTAAGTTTTATTCATAGATTCTAGGACTGGAAGGGCCCTCGAGAGGTCATCGAGTCCAGTCCCCTGCCCACATGGCAGGACCAAATACTGTCTAGACGATCCCTGATAGACATTTATCTCACCTATTCTTAAATATCTCCAGAGATGGAGATTCCACAACCTCCCTAGGC